CGCAGCCTTTCCCTACATTTCTGTAAGAGGCTGTTTCCAGGACTTGAACCCGTGACCTCATGGTCACAAGGCAGCAGCTTTACCACTGCGCCAAGGCTCCCCTTCAATTTAATAGATTGCATATGCTATTTAATCTTGCATCTGATTTGGATGTCAGAGTATCCTTAGTAGAGTTATTAAGATCCTGATATTTTGCGTGATATGCTTCTTTGATCTTCTCATGCATGAATTTAATGTTGCGAATATATGTTTTATGCTGTTGGAAATTTCTTTCTTGAGTTTGTAATAGTTCTTATTAAGAACAGTAAATATTTTTCCCTCCACTCCTAAATATTAGGAACGGAAGGAGTAGTTTCATAGTTCATATTAAGAACAGAACATTGGTATTAGTTTCAGACATCGTAACTTATCATTCATTATGATTCTGAAGGTATTGTCCATTATATGAAGCCTGATTATTTTCTTGGCGCAACCTAATAAAGTACCAAACTTGTGGTTCAAATTAAGTTATTTTGTTAATTTCAGAAATAATTTATTTCCCCATTCCCACTAACCCCTTGCTTAGATTTTTTAACCCCACAACCCCGTCCACTAATCCAGTATTACCGTCTGCTTGGATATCTGATGATCAACATATCAGGCTTATTCGCCAAAATTTTGCCTAGTATTATCGTCTCTTTTTTCCATTTATTTTATATGACCAGTTGACCACTTGTCAGTTCTGTGACTTGAATTATGTTCCTTTTGAGTTTTGTGGTACTGCCTTATGCCAAAGCTATTAGTTTGTTTTTCAATTAGCGATGCTGTTACCAAAACATAATTATATAACATAACAGTATTATATTGCACAAATAATATATCCTATACATTTTCTTTAGATCTTTGTCTGTTAAATTGATGTACTCCATTTGATACATTCTGCATTTTGGTATCAGCATTTCCAGACTCCGACCATTCGTATTCTTATACGTATCTCTGAACTTCCTTCCATCTCACTTATTTGTTGCATCATATGATTGGCAGTTCTATCTTTTCGACATAATCTTCAATAGAATAACGTGAGCATATTGTGGTTTCAACTACAACTAGGACTGTAAGACAATAAGCAGCCTTTCTGTTTGACTGGCAAAAGTATGCACGAAAGTAATTGTGTTAAAAAGCATGTTGTCCACCTGGTAGCATTCTTGTACTTTGGCATCATTCTATCATACAGCTATATAGTGTATTTCCATGGAAATCCAGAGTTAGAGATTGATCAAAGTTTTACCGAAATTTTTTGAATAGGTATTTGTCTTGGTTGCATGTACATACCTGTTTTGGTAATTTGTCTTTAAAGTAACTTATCTCTTATGCACACATTTCTTCTCTTTAATTGCCACTAACCTTCAGAACATGTTCAGTTGCCAGGGCGCACTGATAATGAAATAAAAAACTACTGGAACACTCGAATAAAGAAATGCCAGCGCACCTCTACGCCTATATATCCTGCTGAAATATGCCTACAGGCTTCAAATGAAGATCAGCATGAGTCCGCTGACTTCAGTTTTAGCGAGAAGCTGGCCAATGATCTCCTCCATGGAAATGGTTTATATGATCCCAGTTCAACGTGGGGCGATTTCATTGATGACCAAGAAGCTTTGTCTTATGCGCCCCAGCTTCCAGATGTTTCTTTCAGCAATTTACCTGGTCTGTACTTTGAGTCAACAAACCATGGCTTCGTGGATCAAGTTAACCAAGCAGAAGTTCTGAAAGAATCTGAGATTTCATTTCCTTGGTTGAACGCGGCCATCAATGGTACGTTTTCCTCAGTTGATGAATCCTTCAAAGTCTGAGAAGCTTGTATCATGATTTTTGTGTGACCGTGTGACCAACTTCAGCTATAAGAGTGCATCACCTTGTGCAGGTACCTTCGATGGCAGCCATGCCTTTTCAAATGGCAACTTCTCTACTTCTAGGCCCATGACTGGTCCCTGGAAGATGGAGCTCCCTTCATTCCAATTTGCTGGATCTGATCCAAACAACTGGTCCGCATACTCAAGGACCTGTGCTGCGCAGGGTGCCAACTTTGCTGATCCCTGCATGCGCTCATCAGCGGCAATGGCATCAGCTAAGTTTGAGCACATGTGCATGATACCAGGGAACAGCGGTCAGTTGGAAGAGCCGCTTCCAGAAGCTCATGCAGTAAGCTCTGCAGAGAACCAGCAGCTGTCCGTGGGGAGTTCGAGTGCCTCTACTGGCTCACCCTGCGATGCTATGGTGGAAACATCAGAGCTCCATTTCTTGGAGCGAGACCCCAACCTGTACGCTCTTGTCAACAGCTGTTCGCCCGCCTCGCCTCTTTGCCAAGCATCGCCTGATGAGTTACCGTGCTCCGATTTTTCATCTGGTTAGTGATTACTCCATTTTCTCCATCTACTGATAGTACCTTGGTTAGTTCACCGATTTCACTAGTTTAATCAGCACTGATTTCACTTGCAGCAGCGAGCCCTGTGTTTGTATCAGATGAACCAACAATCCTGCAATACGAAAAAGGATTTCTCTTGCCTCATCCTGAAGATTCCGGGGCAGACGCATTCTCCCATTGGAACGCGATGCCGCCCATCTTCCAGTGATGCGATTCAAATGGGTCTACAATGGTGCAGGTACCGACCGAGCCACCTGTGAGCTATGGAATTGTTGAACTTGCATTTGACTGACACGCTATTCTTCCTGGTCCAGGCAGGTACCTGTGAGCGGCATCCCTTCGAACCAGACGAAATCTCCAACTGGCCTCCAATAAAGCTGTAGAAGAGTCGGTTGTTCTTTGTTCCATTATCTCGAGTAGAATTCCCTCGTGTTCAGCCAACCTGCAAGACGCGCTCACTTTGGCCAACCTTCAAAATGCCCACTGAAGTACGTAAGGAGGTTCATTGTTGTCCAAGCATGCGCCAAGGTGGCACATTGCTGCCCACCTGGCATGCTTCTGGAGGAGACGGAGGAAGGAGAGCACCTAGTAGGATGCCACATGGGCGGAAAGTGGTGGCCTTGACTCTTTGTCCGTCTCCTCCATCAGGGTGTCTGCCTGTGGGCAAAAGGCGTCGCTTTGGACGGTATTGACCCTCTTGTTACCAGGTTGAATGAGTAGGTTGGACATTTTCAAAGCCGGATGGCCAAAGTGAGCGCCTGGCGCATGTCGACTGACTGCGAGTGGTTTCACTCCCATTTTTCTCATCATCAGAACTTTGGCACCTCCGTCGCCTGCCTGTACCTGTAACACTGGTGTGTACGCTTGAACATTCCTTGGTTTATTCTATTCCACGTAGCACGGCTGTACACGGTGCCAGCATGTTGTGATGTTCTTTTGAGGTTTTATATATCTGCGAATTCGGAGGCCAGTGTGTTTTGTCTGTTTGATATCCGTGAATGCCGGCGTCGCTTGCAAGATCCGGGAGTTCACATTGGAAGGAAGAGAAGATCAGTATTATAGCGGAAACGCACAGCAGGAGATCCGCATCTTTATTATGCTGCTAGGAGGAATACAGTGGTAGATTCGTGTCACGTTCCCCGGCACGAAATGAAACGTGCTATTGCTGGCTTGCCGCGGAATCGTGGACGCAACCACCTCCTCTTCTTGACTTAAATTTCCAGAAGGAAAAACAAAAACTCTCTGTCTCTCCTCTGGATTGGTTCCTCGTTGGTGCATTCCGGGAGAGGAGAAGGCGCGCTGGTTGTGTTGTGCACCACTTCTTGACAGGGAGAGTTTGTTTGAGGGGGTCGAGGGTGATGTTTTTTTGCCGGTGAGGCGAGGCGTCGCCCCGGACGGTGACAGGACAGCTACGGGAGCGTCACTCCATCAATGACAAAGCCACAGCATCACCAACTTGGCTCAGTCGGTCGGCACCGTCGCCGACTCGCCGTCACACCACGCACGCACGGTCGACGGGCCATTCCGACGAGCGCCAACGGCGATAAAGAAATCGGCACGTGGCGCCCGATCGCCGTGCCGCAGTTAATTCCGGGCGGTCGACCTGTCCGCCTCGCTGGCCGGGCCCCGCGCGCTGACGGGGCAGCGGCACGCTTGTCGGCACCCTCCCCCTTCCCCACGGCCCGCCCGCCCGCGGTCGCGTCGCCGAGACAAACTCCCAGCCCAAAAAAAACAAAAACGCACGCGCTGGCGCTGCCCCCTCTCCTCGGACGCCACCGACCGACCGACCGAGCCCTTCTCCCTTGCGTGGGTTCGCCTCGCTCGCTTGCTTCCTGCCGCCGCCAGTTACCAGTAGTACGGCACACGCCTCGGCCCCGGCCTCGTCACGGCGGGCCAGGACCATGGGCGCCGCCGCCGCCGCGGGCCGCCTACTAGTACGATCTCCATCGCGCGCGCCGGGATGAGCGCCAGGGCCGGGCCGGATCCCAACTCCGAGAAGTCGGTCGCGTGGCCGGACCTCCGGGGAAGCCTCGAGCGGGCCGGCGCCCTCGCCGCGGAGCTCGCGGCCGCGGCGGAGGAACGGGCACGCCTGGCGCGCCGCCTCGAGGCCGCGCTCGAGGTGAGAATGCTTCTCGCTCGCTCGCTTTGCTTCCGCCCCGCTCGTCGCGCCCCCTTTTGTCGAGCGTGGCCTGATCCTGCTGCTGCTGCAGGTGAGGAGGGAGTCGGTGCGGCAGGGCGCGGCGCTGGACGAGCTGAGCCGGCGGCTGGAGCGGCGGCGGGCGCGCGCGGACGAGCTCGCCGTCGCCAGGCGGAGGGCCGCCGAGGGCGTGGAACGGCGCAAGGAGCAGATGCAGGCGCAGATCGAGCGGGTGCTGCCGCTCTCCAGGGCCCTCGCCGCCGCGCACCGCCAAGTGCAGGTACCTGCCCGCCCGCCCGTTTCTTCCTCTCCACGCGACACCGGAATGCATTGGGTGTTCTGGCTGCCTGCGTTTGGTCCGATATCTAATCCGTCTCCTCCTGATTGATCGCAGGAAGCCAAAGAGTTGAAATCCGCGGAGAAGGCGCGGCTTGGGGATCTGCAGAGGCTGCTCAGGACGAGGCAGCAGTCCATGGTAGCCCAGGTCGCCGCCCTGTACCCTGTCAGGGTCTTCCGAGACCTGCCGGCTGCAGAGAACCACCATTCCCGTACCAATGGTGAGAATTCAGTACTCATGTGCCTCCCCTGAGCAACAATGCTTGATACGATGTGCATGATTTTAGCGTATATGCCCCACAGGCCCATAGATAAGCAATGAACAATCATGTTGTCACATGAATTTTATTTTATTTTTGCTCTGGTTTTTATACGAGTCAGAGAGCTAATTAAAAACACAGTCGATCCTTATATCTCACTTCATGTAACCGTTTATGATGAAATGACACCACATTTTCAGGAGAGTGCCGAACACCTTCGGAAGAGAATGGGGCACTTCCGCAAGAAATGAATGGAAATGGAAGACATTTACTCAGCATTATCAAATCTCCACATGTTGGCCCCTTGACATTTTTTGGTTGGCAAATTGGAAAGCCCAAGACAAAGCAGCCAAGTTACAGTCACAAGGAGCTTCAGAGGTCAGCAGCTGTGCTTGGATATGCAGCACATGTAAGTTTGTCTGCCCAATGCTCCTGCACAACAAAATATTAAGACAAATAGACAATACATTTGATGTAGCACATATATCCCAGCCTAGCTAGGCCAGTTGTCATGCTTCAAGAAGAAAATACAAAAAATATTTCTTGGGCTGCCGATTTTTTGGTATAGTTTTTAATAGATCCAGTGGTAAAGATCAAAAAAGAAGAGCATTGAGTTTTTCATGCATTAGTTTGGAATACAATATAAATTGTGGCCCTTCCAGATTTAGTGGTTCCATGGTATCAAGCCTACACTATGATAGGAGTGTAAGTTATCTGCCTGCATCTGCACACTAGATTTTATAGGTGCAGCCACTAGAGTTAAAATCACTACTTGCTTACCATGTTAATTTGGTGTGGAGTTCAAAAGAGTTAGAATCTTATCTGCCTGCATCTGCACACTAGATTTTATAGGTGCAGCCACTAGAGTTAAAATCACTACTTGCTTACCATGTTAATTTTGTGTGGAGTTCAAAAGAGTTAGAATCACAAGTTGCTCACTTTGTTAATTTCCTGTAGGCAGTCTTGCTTATTGCTTCATATCTTGACATTCCCCTCCGATATCCTTTGCGCTTTGGAGGATCACGATCTTATGTCGGTGATCGTTTGCCTTCAGCTGAAGCATCATCCATGGGTTCAACGGAACATCGAAGGGTCGGCAGCGCTGACTCAAAACTAACAGATTATCCCCTTTTCTTGGAATATCAAGATGACTCGACAAAGGCATCCTACGCCATTCACTTGTTGCAAAAGGTGTGTGTTCTCCATACAGTCTTGTATTCCATCTCCCTGTTTGTCGCTGCAATCTTTGTTTAATCCAGTTTCCCAAGCAAACTAAGACTGCTTGCTGTCCACATTTTCAATGATGGGTGGTTAGGATACGGAGCAGCTCTTGAACTACATCGGAGCAGAGAGTTCTGGGAGGAATGCATTTGGTAATCTGCGGGAGCTTATTAGGATTGTACAGTCAGATGAGTATCTGTACATATGATTAGATTTGGTGATCATCGTGAGTTTGGATCGCATATGCTGTATAGATAGATATATGGTAGAATACAGGTTTAAGTAGGTATTCTTTCTGTTCTTTTGTGTGATTCTGCCTACTCTCGCTGTGCCGAGTTTTTGTATGCGCAGCAAAGAGCAGCACTGGGTTGTGCTAGATCAATGGTATTTACAGATGGGGTTTTACATGAGCATAAAAGCCTCTCTCCCATGTACTCCCTCCGTCCGGAATTACTTGTCGCAGAAAAGGATGACAAGTAATTCCGGACGGAGGGAGTATATTTTTGAGGTTTCTGGGTACGTACTACCCTCTGAGGCTGTTGTATAAAAAAGGTTATGAGTTGATATGGAAGTCATTGGACTCGGAAATTCAGGAGTCAAGACCTACTTTGGACCTGTTTGGAACACAGGCAGTGTACACAACGCACCAAACTCATTATCCATTTGACTATTTGAGCATGGATATCACAAGCCCAATAGTATTATAAATGAAACATCATTGCAGTCATCTAACTAACTTCATCACTGGTTTAAGCATTGCTATTATATCATCATTATATTTATAAAGAAGCATGATGTTGTCATGTGAACAACTTATTAACACTGGAGAGAAAAAGAATATCTTCTCAAAAAAAGGCATTGCTCTGACGCAACTAAATTCGGTGCACCAATTAAAGAACCGACCTGGTGTTTTGAGAAGAGAAAATTCAAGAACCGACCTGTTACCATCATGAACACCACCGCAGGGACCAAAGAAAAGAGTCCGGAAAGAAGCTTTCCGGCACCGTCCATGGGTCCGTCCGGGCCCCGGAAAAAGTCTTGGCATGAAAGCGGCGGCGGCAGACGCGGATCGAGATCCCGCACACACAAATGCAATGGTGACAGCCACCACCGCGCGGCTCCCCCTCCACGACCAAACACGCGGGAAAGGGATCCCACCCACCGCCCGCCCCGCTGGCTCGGCTCGGCGGCCCCACCGCCGGCGTGGGCGCACGTGCCACCGCCTCACCCGTGTCCGGCGACGGCCGGGGACAACTACCGCCCCGCGGAAGTACCAGCAGAAGAGATGGTGTGATGAGGCCCGGGGCCCCCGCCACCCTCCCCCACTACCAGCGATCGGCGCCGCGCCGCGCTCCCACTTCGTGGCTCGCCAGTCGGTCGGTCAGTCCGCCACCTGCTTCACTTTGAGACTCCTTCACTTTCTTGAGCTCGGATCACCATTTTCCTTTCCTTCGCTCCCCTTTTTCTTTCTTCGGGATCACCATTGCCAACCGCTGCACTGCCGCCCTGCCGGCGATCCCATCTGAACTTCCCAAGAGGCAATCGCGCTAGCTTGCCAGCCTTTTCTTGTTCGGTTGTTCCTGGCCTGCCTTTGATCTTCTGCCGCTGCTGCCTGCCTGCCGCCGGAGTCCCCCGCTGGCCCCGGTCCTCTGTTCTTGCCCCCGCCCCTCGGATCTCGGGCTCCGATCGGCGTCCGCTTAAAGGTACCAACTTCTGAGGCTGCCGATCCAGTATTAATTCAGCGTCTCCAGAGTAATCATGTGAATTGAATTCTTGAACGTGCTCCCACATTTCTAGTTTAGTCTGATATGGTTTTTAGAATTGAAAGCCATAACAAACTTTAATATGGTTTAGGATCGTAACACAAGCTTTTTGTAGAATTAAACCTCTGGTAGAATTCATTCGATGAGCTAATGTTGCCAGTGTGTTTTCTCTGCTAGGTCTGTGCTGGCAGGTGAGAGAGGAGTGGCCATGGGTGTCCAGGCCAAGCATGATACATTAGGCATCAAGAAAGTTTTGAAGTGCTCTATCAGAATAAGCTATAGATGTGCCTCTGAACACTGGGCTCTCTTCAGTCTAGCCCTACTGCTTTACCTGCTGTACAGATCTTCACCGGGTCTCTTCGCTTTCCTTCTCTCCACTTCCCCTGTAATTATTTGCGCCACCCTTCTTCTTGGTATACTGCTAAGTTATGGGAGCACACATCTTCCTGAGTCCGTTGAAGACCGGAAGACTGACACAGATAGTTCAGCTCCCAGGTTTGGATGTTTTTCCAGAAATGTTCATTTTGGAGCACATCAGGGATTTTCAGTGCCTGCAGTTAAGGAGAGCACAGTTGGCTTTAAATGTTGGGAAATCAGAAACCCAAGTTTTAGCAAGGCAAGGGCTGACAAGCTTACTGAGCTGGATGATACTGTTCCTCTTTTGAAGGAATCAGTTGATCAAGGAGATGAGAGAGTTTATGGACATGATAGACTCACTGAACTCTTCGCTTCTATTTCTTCCATGGTGACACTGCAGCAAGAGGTTGGTATGGAGAAATTCATGAAGGCTGATCATGAACGGGAGTTCAGAGATCCATTTTCCAACAATGATAATAGTACCGAGTATGCTAGCCTGTTTGAGGATGCTGGTCAAAGAAGAGTTGATGAGAAGGAGACAACATTTGGCTTATGCTCTTCCAGTGAGAATGATAGGGAAAATGATGAAACAGTAAGAAAGGAAAATCAAGATAAATTGTTGACAGATGATCAAAGTGATAATGTGGGAGAGGTTTCAGAAGATAACCCAGCTAAAAAACCGGCTGGTACTTGCAAATGGGGCCGTGCTTTTTCTGTCCGTCAGAGAAAGAAGCTTGATGGGATAAAGATTGAGCCTATCAATGTTGATATCAGCAGCCAGTTAGACTCTTCTCTAGTTTCACCATGTGCAAGAGTTGGCAACCATGATGTTTCATCAGATTTTGATTCTGTCAAGCCAGAGTTTTCCTCTTCTGATATCACTATGGTTGACGTTGCTCCAATGCTCGATGGTAATGATCCTCCTTTAAGCAATGATGATTCTGGTAAGCTAGAGGATTCCTCTTGTGATATCACTATGGCTGATGTTGCTCCAATGCTTGATGAGATTGATCCTCCTTTAGGCAATGAATTCCCTAGCCCCGAGCCCATTGACAATGATGATTCTGTCTGCGGTTCCAACTTCTGCCGCCTGGATCCTCAAATGGACAGTGATAATAACAGCAAGCCTGATACTAGTAAAGCTGAAAATGATGCTAAGGATGGAGAAAAGAAGAAGGATGATGGTGGGAACCAACCTGAATTTCTTGGGACAGCAGACGAAGATAAGAATGCCATGGATCTTGGGTACTCTGAGGTGGAAAGGAGTCGTAGATTGGAGTTCTTGATGGCTAAGAGAAGATCAAGGAAGAATATAATATTTGATCTTGATGGAAATGATGCTTGTCAGAGTGCAGATAGATTTTCACGTTTCCGTATGCAAGTTCAGCCCATTTCAGTATCAAGGAGGAGCCCTTTTGACCTTGCTTCTGATCCTGATGAGGCAGCCATTCCTGGCTCGGCTCCTTCAATCATGCATCGGCGAAATAACCTGTTTGAACCCCCTTCTGAACAATCAGATGATGGTGGTGTATCTGCACATGATAACTTGGATTCTCAAGAAATCATGACAGGTTCCCGCCGAGACATGGTCTTCAAGAGGCATGATACCTTCAATTTTGGCGGCCAAGAGAGACACCGTTCTCGATTTAAGCCATGTTTCGTGCTGGATGCAATGGATATTCAGGAAGAAAGTACAGGCAGTTTCCAGAGGCAGTTCAGTGACAAGAGTGTGTCAAAACTAAGTGCTGTATCTGAGTGTGATACCCTTTCTTCGGTCGCTGATCAAGAGGAAAGCAACAACCTCGTCAAAAAGGATTTCCAGAGGTGGTTCAGTGACAAGAGCGTGTCAAGACTGAGCGTTGTTTCTGAATCTGACACCCTTTCTTTGGGCGCCGATCAAGAGGAATGCAACGACCTTGTGAAAAAGGATTTCCAGAGGTGGTTCAGTGACAAGAGCATGTCGAGGCTGAGCGTTGTTTCTGGATCTGACGCCCTTTCTTTGGCCGCCGGTCAAGAGGAACGCAGCGACTTCAATAAGGACTTCCTCTGGTATTTCCAGAGGCAGTTCAGTGACAAGAGCATGTCGAAAGTAACTGTTGTTTCTGAATCCGATGCCCTTTCTTTGGTCGCCGACCAGGAGGAACACACCGACTTCAATAAGGATTTCCTTTGGTACTTCCAGAGGCAGTTCAGCGACAAGAGCGTGTCGAGGCAGAGCGTTGTTGCTGAATCTGATATCATTTCGTCAGTCACCGATCAAGAGGACCGCAGCGACCTCGTCGAGAAGGATGTCCTTTTGGGGGACACGTCGCCAGAGCTGCCAAGACAGGAAAGTGATGTTGGAAATGCTGGAAGCAAATGCCCAGACACGGTTGATTTTTTGGGTGATGAAACTCTGAATGCCGCTGTCGCCAGTGGGATGGAGCCTGAGCCAGTGTGCAATGCTGCAACATAGGCTCTGAATCTTCTGATCAAGTGATGTCGAAGCACAGAGCTTTCCCTGTACATTTTGTGAATGTAATTGGATAGAAACATGGCACTGTTCCTGTTGCCATTCTCTGAACATAGGCCTTGTGAAGTTCCAAAAAATGAAAAGAGAGAGAGAACAATTTTTGTGTATGTTACAGGTTATTCCATCCTAGAGAATGTTGAATATCCTTATGAAATCTTCAACCCTGATTCCTGTTTGCTTTTAGCAGAAGTTTCCCAGCTGCCATGCAATGTGTGAACCCACATTATCTAGAACAGTGGCCAGCAACCCCCGCCCAAGACTTGGAACTTGTGAGATTCTTGGCCTGCGGTCTGTCTGAAGAAGATTCGTTTCCCCAGCTGGAAGCAAGCATACAAAGTTTTCCCTGTACATTTTGTGAGTGCAATTGGATAGAAACATCATAGTAGTGTTCCAGATGCCATTTTTTGAACGTCAATAGGCCTTGTGAAGTTGTTCCAAACGAAATGAAAGGAAAGAGCATAATCTTTGTGCCTGTCGGAGATTGTTGAGTATCCTTATCTAATTCTCAACCCTGATTATTTGTTTGCTTTTTACCAGAATTTCTCCAGCTGAGATGCAGCGTGGATCCAGACTACCTAGAGCAGCGGCCAAGAGTTGGAACTTGTGAAGCTCTTGGCCCGTGGTCTGAAGATTCTTTTCCCCAGCTGGAAGCAAGCATGCTACTCTACTAGCTTCTTCAGCTCCGGCCGCAATATCAGAAGCTACACACACACATGCACGCGGTTGCTTCAGTGACAAAAAATTCTCATCTTTGGTCACTCGATTCAAGGAGCGGCAGAAGAAAGCGCCCAAACCATCCAAATCTTGCTTGCGTGCATGACCGACTGCCCCGTCTCGCGATCAGATTCTTCAGAACTTTCTTCGGCTGAAGCTGGCTTGTAGTACTAGTAGTAGCTTCTGCCACACGCCGTTCTTGCAATCTGGCCATAAAATGTCGTGCCTCACGTCTTGTCACGCTCCCGCAAAAAAAATGCACGTAAACATATAAACTTGAATATACTCCCTCGTTCACAAATACTATAAGATGTTTTGGATCCCTTAAAAAAATGTTTTGAATATTTAGTACGGACTACATACGGGCTGAAATGAGTGAACGAACTCACTAAAACGCCTGTATGGAGGGAGTAGCTAGGATTAGATTGCTAAGAACATTTTTGTGATGTGGCTTCACATCATAGACCTTAAAAAAAATGTTTTGAATATTTAGTACGGACTACATACGGGCTGAAATGAGTGAACGAACTTACTAAAACGCCTGTATGGAGGGAGTAGCTAGGATTAGATTGCTAAGAACATTTTTGTGATGTGGCTTCACATCATAGAATACATGTAGCTTCGCCACTGATTAGGATACGATCATACGATACGATCGAAGCCCTACTTCGCGATGCTCTTGTATAACTTGCTCAGTTATTTATTTATTTTACCCCCAACCTAAAGCTCTCCTGTGAGGGCAAAACATTGTCCACGACACAATGCCATCGAATCAAACGATCGACCGCTGGTACGGGACCGGAGCCAGGAAAAATAATCAATGTCGTTCAGCGTATGTACAGTGTAGAAATCTTAATCCTGATACGCTGATTAAGGGTGTCAAAACCGATGTACATGGTCTGAACATTTCTACGAGCAACTCAAAGGGCATCTCCAATGCCGACCCTCAAATCTCTCACAGCCGTCTGGATCGTGAAAGCCATTCAACGTGGTCATGTATCGGTCTGCGGTGTAGTCTGGACATATTTTCTCCCACACCCAAAACCCCTCCTTCCTCCTGCGTGTGCTTCCCGCCCTGCGCCACTTGCCCGCATTCATGCCGCTGTAAAGCGTGCGCGCTCCACATTGAAGACGGCTCGGGGCGGATGCAACCTCCCATTGCCTCCGCCATTGAAGCGGCGCGCCGGCCGAGGGCACCGCTCGGATGAACACGTCTCCTCGCCGCATTTAAATGCCTCCATTAAACCCGTGTGGAAGCCAAGAAACCTACCCCCTCCACACGTACCGCGTCATCCGTTGTCAACGCACGCGTAACCGCGCCCTACTGGCAGAGAAAGAAGCCGACTGCGCGGAGATCGTTGAGTCGGTGGCCTATGCGTCCGCGTTCGCCGCCCAACATCGAGGGAAAGTAGAACACGGGAGGCAGCCGCCACTTGGTTCCCAGGAAGGCTACCGCCAGCGTGTCGCCGACTTGCACAACCAGTGACTTGGCCGGTTCTTCAGCGCAGACCGTCGCCGCCCCAAGCCTGGGCTCCACGGAGGCGGAGGTGCCCCCCTTCCCCTCCGGCCGAAGCATCAGCCCGCGGTTCCACTCCAATGAGCGGTGGGGAAGCGAGCCGCCCTTTGCGCTGAAGCATATACCTCCGGGCCTCTCGATAGTCCGATGAACGGGTTGCCGGACATGAGGAAAACAGAGGGACCCACCGCGGCCGGTCGTAGACTAGTATAGTGTATCTGTGTCGTCGAAGTGGAGTTCGGCACGACCGTATGTGCACATAGTTTTACCATTATAGTTAAGATATGTTCAAGATGTAAACGTTTTCGTCTGGTTTGTATGAAATCCGTCATGTTTATATGAAATCCAGTCGTGTTTGCATGAATTTCATCCGGTTTGCTGAAAAAATGTTTGAAATGTACGCGGTTACGGTTGGATGGCGGCCTACCGCATCCGTGTCCCCGGATACGAGAGAAAAATTACGAGTCGCCATTGGATATGCCCTTATAAGACAGAACCGTGACTTGGATTGCTTGGGGGCCTTTGGTTGCCACAAAAGTAGCTGCGGTTGATTATATGAACTTTTTAAGTTGAGTAATACATTATTTCACGTGAAAAAAAAGATGCACACAACTGTTAGTACATACACTCATGTCAGTCAGCGGGGCCCATCTATTTCTTTTATTGTACGATACCATCGAGTAAAAAATCTTTATTGGAATGCAAGACCTTGGCAAGCCCTTCTCTTTTTTTGTCTGAGGAAAAGGAAATTCATTCATCAAAGGGCAATCAAGTTTGCATTACAAAGGTCAGGTACCTTATCCGGTCCTGAACGAAGCCGAAGTACGCTTCTTTATTCTACCATAGTTTGCTAAAAAGTGACTGACAATGTTTTGTTCTCTCCTAACTTGCTTGACTATGAATTCCCTCTGATCCCGAAGAAGCCCTTCTTGATGATGCTCGATGCTTTGTAAATGTGCTTAGTTATATCTTCTTCTTCTTCTTCTTCTTCTTCTTGCGTTCTTCTTTACCCCCAGAGCGCGTTAACAAAATTCATGTGAAGATAGAGTACCACTCATCCGAGCCATCAGGTGACACAATCTTCTTTTTTCCTTTTTGCGGGATCATCAGGTGATACAATCAATTGCTGATGCGGCCGTACGGCGGATGGAACGAGGAAAAACAATCAATGGGGTCAACACATGTTACAGTGTAGAAAAATATTACTACTAATCTTGGTGTGTTGGTTTTATGGGGCCTTAGCACGACGACTTCCCGACTGTCTATTATAATAAGGTTTGCCCGGCTCTGACGAGGGAAGGGTAATGACAGCGGCGCGTCTTCGGCTTGTAGTCGTCGCTAGGTGGTCTATGGATCTTGATGTAATTTTTATTATTTCTAGTGTTCGTTGTACTACTATGATTGAAGATGAATAGATTGGAAGTTTTTTTGAAAAAAAATATGCCAGTTAATTAGTGGCGTCAAAATGATCTGACAGAATAAAATACAGTACGTACGTGGACATTTGTACGTAAGAGCACCTGAAGAAAGAACCATGGGTGTCTGCTCGCTCAATCGCTGTGCTGCCTGCCTGCCTGCTGTATCGCTCGCTCTCGTAGCAGCTGGGCAACGACGCACGCATAAACCGTAGCACTAGTACGGCTAATCCGTCAAGGGTGACAGGCATTATCCTTTGACTAATTTCGATGCTGGGGCTAATTAATCCCGGTCCAAGAAACATCCCGGGACAGAATAGACAGCGGCACCATGCATATGCATGTGGCAGCGGCCAGGCGTACGTGTTCATGTGATGAATCTCACGTCCCGTGTGTCAAAATCCGTACTAACATTTGTTTCGGAGGTGTGTCCTTTGCCTAATTTCGTAAGTAAGTACGTACTACTCATTTCAACGACAGTTAAATTTCGAATAGAGGCAAAATATTTGTTTGGATCTCACGTCGACACAGAATCCGTAACAAATTTCTTCGCAGTTCGGTTACTGTGCGACAGTCATCGGTGCTAGTAGAGCAAATGCGCGCAGCTACCCTATCACCTACAAAAGGCCGGCCCACCATGTCAGCCATGGAACACACAAATGTGTAGCAAGACGTGGGATGCTCCACATTAAAGACGGCTCAGGATGGACGCGATCTCCCACTGCCTCCGCTAGTGAAGCGACGCACCAGCCAAGGGCACTGCCCAGCTGAACACGCCTCCTCGCCGCATTCAAACGCCTCCATTAAACCCGCGTGGAAGCCAAGAAACCTACTCCAGCTACACATACCGCGTCATCCGTCGTCAGCGTGCGCGTAACCGCGCCTGCCGACAGAGAAAGAAGCCGGCTGCGCGGAGGTCGATGAGTCGGTGGCCTGTGCGTCCACGTCTGCCGCCCAACATCGAGGGAAAGTAAACACGGGAGGCTGCATTCGCTTGGGTCCCAGGAAGGCCACCGCCGGCGTGTCGCCAGTGACTTGCCCGGTTCTTTAGCGCAGAACATCGTCGCCCCAAGCCTGGGCTCCACAAAGGCGGAGGTTCCCCCCTTCCCCTCCGGCTGAAGCATCAGTCGACGGTTCCACTTCGATGACCGGTGGGGAAGTAAGCTTCCTTTTGCGCTGAAGCATATACCTTCCGGGCTCCCGACAGTCCGGTGAGCGGGCTGCCAGACATGGGGAAGACAAAGGGATCCGCCGCGACCGGCCGTAGACTAGTGTGGTGTAACACCCCCAGTGTCATG